TTTGAGAGGTTTTCACTATAGGGTGCGTGCGCTCGCCAGACAGACAGAGAGAGACATAGAGACAGAAAGTGAGAAATCACCCCCCAGGGGGGATGGTCACGCCACAATCCCTTCTCCTCCATTCTCCTCTTGGGATCTTGGGCACGCACGCACACGCGCCCGGCGTGAGTTCTAAGCCATCGGATCCGGGACGCGAACCGCGGTCAACTACGTGGGAGTCCAGCGATATGGCCATTATGCTAACTGCTGGTTCCCTGTTTGAATATTCTTGAACAGAGTGGATTACAGCTGACTTGGTTTTGATTTTTTTGTCTTTGCTTAGATTCTATGGGAAGAAGAAAGAGCCGAGAAGGGAGTAACTGCCAAGCAGTCCTTTGTTGACTTGGGCTGCGGGAATGGCCTGCTGGTCCACATCCTGACCAGCGAAGGGGTAAAGCACGGCTCCGTGACCTTTTCTGGTACAGGGTGAGCATCCCTTCTCTGAAATCCTTGGGACCAGAGAGTCCAGGGTTTAGAATATTTGCCAGCACATAGTGAGATGTCTTAAAGATGGGACCCGAGTTGAGACAGAATTGTTTCCTGTTTTATACGTACCTTATACACAAAGCCTAAAGGTGATTGTATACAGTATTTTTGTATTGCAGCAATTTGACTGCGACCTGGCACATGAAATCTGGTTTGGAGTTTCCTACTTGTGCTGTTATGCCAGTGTTCAAAAGTTACAGATTTTGAAGCATTGTAGATGTCAAGGTTTTAGATTAGGGATGCTCAACCTGTCCCTTTCCTAGAGTTTCCTCATGTCAGGCATAGGATTCACTGATGCCATTTTCAGCTGGTATAATCTGGATTAAGCTGGTCTGGGTCTTGGAATTGTGACTGTTAAACTTCTACTAATTTGTTAAACACATGGCACATGAAAAGCAAGGGAAGAAACAGGATGTTAGAGGGGCTTTCAAGGATATCCTGGTGTGGGCCTATAAAATGAACCTTCAGCGACATGTGCATGTATATACATGTATGCATATGCATGTACAGATGTAAACACACGCAGTTTTTTTAAAGACAGGTCCCACTGTATTGTGATCCTCCTGTCCCAGCCTCCTGAGTAGTTTGAGTGACAGGTGTATCCCCTGCACCCAGCTTTTTAGGATGAGCCAGGAATTAAACCTGAGCCTCCCACATGGCCTCAGCCTGCTCAGCAGCAGTGTCACCAGCGTATATACCACGGCGAGGCCATTACTTATGTTGTTCCTGTTTAATTTTTCTTTGGAAAACCCACCTTGTCAAGAAGCTAACTCCGGAGTAATGGGTAAGGTTGGTTCTGTTCTTGAGAAGAGTGAAGTCTAGCTCAGAGGACTGGTTACATGTACATGGAGACCTTGATGTGCAAACAGCGTGATCGCAGTTTGGCGCTCGTTTTCTGGATACCTGTCTGATGTGGGGAAAGCAGTCACGTGCTGAGTATAACCCTGCACTCAGTACATCCAGCAAGAGGGGACACTGGGCTTCCTGTGCCCAGAACTGTCCCCCAGCATCTCCTACCCTCCTCGCCACATCCAGGGCATTAGACACCGTTCCCTCTTCTGCAGCTTCACACTAGAGGGTGACCCAGCTGGGACTTGGTGTGACTCCTGGTGGCCCCAACTGATTTTCTTCCTCTTGTCTGATTCTGCCTTGTGGGATACACAGGTTTTCTCAAAACTGTAGGAACTTGAAATGGCTATTAAAGTGAATTTTCTGAAGTGTTTTATAAAAGAACGAGATCGTTATCCCAATATCTATAAATGCGGAGGTCAGCATGGTGGGGTAACCTGGAAGTTACATAGTGGGCACACTGGCTGCTGTCTTGTGCGTTCCTCCCGTTCCCTCGCTTGAAGTGAACAGGGCTGCCCTGCGAGAACTAACGGGTGCCACAGGGAAGGAAGGGCAGAAGCCCCGGGTGTCTAACCTGAGCGTTAGCTCCTGTTCCCGGAGGTGTTCTGGGGCACCGGCCCTGGAGCTACTCCTAGACCACAGACCTCCACCGTCACGTGGCTCCCAGGAAGCCTTAGCAGAGGCAGGCTTGTACCTGCGGAGCAAAGTCGTACTGGTGCCATCCACAAATGACAGGGGTCTCACACTTCATACTGATAGCAACACCTGCAGAACTGCGCCTCGTCCTTACTAATTTATTATGCTGCATACCAAACCTAACCTTCGATTTCCAATATTAATTATTTCAGCATCCGGGCAGAGGGATTGATGTCCGAAGAAGAAAAATCTGGGACCTGTATGGACCACAAACTCAGTTAGAGGTACCAGCTTTGTTCAGGGACTTGGTCTCAGGATTGCTCATCCCCTGGTGGCAATTGATTTAATGAGTGTGTCTGTTTGTGTAGGTCAATCAGAAATGCTAACCACAGGGCCAGCTGGTGGCATGGTGGTTAGAGCACTTGTTTCCCACATGGCTGACTGCAGTTCAAGTCCCAGACCTGGCCGCTTGCTTTCTCATTTTCTCTCTCTAGTCAATTGAAAAATATTTATTTATAGAATGTCATTCTGTAAATAAAATTAAACAATTAAAAATGCTAACTATACTCAATCTAAATGCTCTGAAAGTAGAAGGGGAAAAAGAAAGATGAAGTTGTTGGATGAGGAGGCTGGGGTGCCATCCAGGGTGGAGGTCTTGATCTTTCGAGTACAGTGGCCAGAATAGCCTCACAGGGGAGACGGCAGGTTGTTGAGGAATTCAGTAGGGAGATTGAAAATGAGGCCGGGGTGCCAGGCTGCGGGCATCCAACGCCCCGTGGGGTCAGGGGCTGACTGCACACATCCTGATTACGGGGGCCACAGGATATTGGGGTTCACATGGAGAGCTCGAGTTAGGCAAACCCTGGTCTCGAGCAGCTTGCTTTCCCTGGCGTCCAGGGCTGAGGTGAGTCTCCCTAGAGGGAAAGGAGGTGAGTCTGCCTAGAGGAAAAGAGGTAACGAGTCACCTCAGTTGCGTTTCTCCCACAGACGCTGGGTGATGTGTTACCGGGAAGTCATGACACGTTTTTCTGTGCAAAAATGCACCATGACTTTCAGGTGCCTATAGGTGTCTCTGGTTGAGGCCTCCAGGGTAGCCAGGAGGAAGCTCAGTAGTGGGGTCTAGGTACTTGGCTCTGGGTGTCTGTGTGGGCATGGCTCCCTCCCTCGGAGGGGTGCCCTCAACTTGACTTTCCTTTTTTTTTTTTTAGAGAGATTTTCACTGTAGGGCGCATGCGCTCGCCAGACAGAGAGAGAGAGAGACATAGAGACAGAAAGCGAGAAATCACCCCCCAGGGGGGATGGTCACGCCGCAATCCCTTCTCCTCCATTCTCCTCTCGGGATCTTGGGCACGCACACACACGCGCCCAGCGTGAGTTTTAAGCCACCGGGTCCGGGATGTGAACTGCGGTCGACTACGTGGGAGTCCAGTGACATAGCCA